GAGGATGCCCCCTGATTCGGAGGAAGATTGGCCTTGTATTCTATTCCGGCCTTCAGCTGGTTGGCTGAGGCCTGCTCATCTCAAGGAGGGCCATCTGCCTTGCTCAGTGAATGTTACATTTATTCAAAAATATCCTCAGAGAAACATCCAGAATAATGTATAACCAAATATCTGGGCACCCTGTGACTTAGTCAAACGGACACATAAGGCCAGGCATGGAAGCTCACGCCTGTAGCAATCCCAGCACTTTGGGAGACCGAGGCTGGCGGATCACTTGAGGCCAGGAGTTGGAGACCTGCCTGGCCAACATGGTGAAACCCCATCTCTACCAAAAAAATAAAACATTAGCCGGGAGTGGTGGTGCACGCCTGTATTCCCAGCTACTCGGGAGGCTGAGTCACAAGAATCGCTTGAACCCAGGAGGCGGAGGTTGCAGTGAGCCGAGATTGCACCCCTGCACTCCAGCCTGGGTGACAAAGAGAGACTCTATCTCAAAAAACAAAACAAAACAAAACAAACAAACAAAAAAACCCAAAAATACCCTGACACATAAAATTAATTACCAACGGAGTTTTCTGAGGCAAAGAGGAGTAAAGCTCTTGCCTTTTTCTTCTTGCCCATGAGGTTGGTTCAGATTCTTCTAACAGCCAATGGTTGTTGGCCGATTTTACTCTGAATGACACCTTTCTTTCTTTTTATTCAGGTCTCCCTCTGTCACCCAGGCTGGAGTGCAGGGGCACAATCATGGCTCACAGCAGCCTTGCTCTTCCAGGCTTAACCAAACCTTTCACCTTGGCCTTCTGAGTAGCTACGGGCCTGCACCACCACATCTGGCTAATTTTTTTCTTTTTTAAAAAATTTTTAGTAGAGACGAGGTCTTGCTATGTTGCCCAGTCTAGTCCTGAACTCTTGAGCTCAAGCAGTCCTCTAGCCTTGGCCTCAGAAAGTGCTGGAATTATAGGTGTGAGCCACCGCACCCAGCCCTGAGTGACATTATTTCATACAAAATTCTCATCTCTGGAGGCCTTTGTATTTTTAGGGGTTTTGTTTTTCAAATGCTTTTCACCTCATTCTATACTGGTTCATTTTTAAATGTTTCCTGGCAGAGCAATTAGTATTTTCTGGCTTACTAGGTGCTATTCGATTGCATTAGCTTTTGAATATTACCTAGCTAGTTGTGGAGTGGGACAGTAAGCTCATAAAGAAGCAAGATAGTGGAATACACAAATATTACTACGACTTTATGGATGGCACACCTGATTCTTGATCCATGTGACTGTGTTCAGATCTGGTTAGCACACAATGACATCAGGTGCTGAGCCACCAGTGAGACTCAAACCCAGCAGCCCTGTCAGTCTACCTTCTCTCTTAACTTGATCCAGCCTCATAACTTCACTTTCCACAGGAGGAATACACCTCTTGAGGTCCTGTGTCACAAATAGGCAGTGTTTCTGGAGAAAGCCAGGAGGCAGATTTTAGTGCTGGTTAGCATCTGTGGCCTCTACTTTCTGGATTTGGTGCATTTTGGAGACCACAGAATGACATGAAATAGCTCAGTGCTGCCAGTGGCGTTGACAGGGACAGAAGAGGTAAAGGAGGGCCCTCGGGGCAATCCCAGCAGGTGGGTGGTGGCTGAAGGTCCTCATCTTCTTTCTGCAGAGACTGGCCACCTGCTTCATTCTTTCAAGAAGCGCCAAATCCCTACTTCAGTACTTTGCCTTGTAACAGCCCACTCATCATGTCAGGAGAATGAAACTCACGAGGCCTTCATTTACTTTTATCCTGTAACACCTCCAGTTTTTCCCACATCCTCCCTTGATTCGTGGATGGACAACTATGGAGGCCAGTCTGGCTGAGGTGACGACTGCTTCAGTCGAAATTCCTCTCTGTCTCCTCAACCCCAATTCAGACTGGCCTGAGCAAAATGAATGTATTGATCCATAACTGAAAAGTCCAGAGCGGTCAGGCATCAGGCATGGCTGGATCCAGAGGCCCATGTATTAGAACCATCTCTTTCCAATTCTGGGCTCTGCTAGCCTCCCAGTTGGTTTTACTGCACAGAGGTTTATTCAAGTCCAAAGAGATCTTATGTTTGTCTACAAGTCTGTGACCTTGATTCTGAACCTGTGTCTATGGGAAGGGGTTGCAGTGTCTGAGTGAGCTTGTACTGTGTAAACTTTCCCACTTCTGAAGCTGGGTGTGGGGTTCACTCCACTAAGCTACATGGCTTTAGAGTCAGGGGGCTGCCCCCTAAGTAGTTGGCAGTAATTGTTACCAGAAAAACCATGAATGGACATTGAGCAGAAAACTCAGCAGATGTTTATTTCCTGGTCTTTAGGATTTGTTGAAGAGTTTTTTGTTTGTTTGTTTTTTAAGAAAGACTCAAAGGAGGAGGGGGAAGAAACTATAGTTATTTTATCATGGTATAAAAAGATTTTGTAGTTTACATTTGAACTTTCTATAAGACATCTCCTACCCCCCTAAAATTGGAAGTCATTTATTAAGACTTTGTATTCTCTAAGAGGATTGGAAATAAATAATTAAGAACATTAAAGAGGACAGCTGGGGGGCGGTGGGGAAGTGTGGTCTTGAAGGGGTAATAAACCTCCTTCCGGCCACACACACACACACACACACAGGAAAGGAAAGCAGTGTAGCCCGGTAAGATAAGGTGGAGAATAAGGTTAGGGGTAAGGTTAATTCTACAAGTTCAAAGCCAGTAGCCCCTGATGCAATGCTGGACGTGAACTATAAATTTGGCTCTGAGGTTCCCAGGCATGGGAGAATATCTAGATCTGTACAGAGAGGTTGTGTGTGTGTTTAACATTTCCATAAGGTACAATTTCCTCTAAGAATAAAGGCCATGAGGAAATGCCCGTGGAAGATAAAGAAGAGCATGTGGTCTGTGGCAACCACGGATTCATTTCTTTCCCAACGCGTTCTCTGGGGCACTTCGGTAACTCTGCCTCTTTGCTCTCAGCATTGTGTTAGAAAATAAAGCAAGCAGGCAGGGATTAAACCCTCATGTTGCTGGGTTCCTTCTAGAAACAATTGGAGGGCTAACCAAGTCACCTTTGGTGGAAGGCAGTAAGGTGAGTCACTGCTGTGGCTGGACTGAATAGGATAGCCTTAGCTGTAAAATTGGGCTGATCTTTCAAATGGACTCATGCTTGCCTAATGACTCACGCTCCTGTTTACAAATCAGCTCTGTGAAGAAATGCAGAGTGGGACGCTCTGCTTCCCAGACGGAGACCTTAGACCTCCAGGGGTGGAGAACCAAGTACTTCCTCTGGTGCTCAGCTTCCCTTCCTGGGGGCAGATCTCTCAGCTTCTGGCAGTTAGTTGGTTGCTCTCAAAATCCAGACACAGGGTCAGCTGCAGCCAGCATGGGCCCTGGAGTAGTAGCTCCAGTTATGGGGCAGCAATGGCCGCCTCTCATTTTGGGAGCTCACTTTGCCTGTGGATGGTTTTAATCCATCTGGATAAACTTGGAGCCCATGGGAATACCATGTACTGTGGTAACCATGTACATTGCTCTAAAGACGTGGCTGCTGTTGTATAAATTTTTCCTTTATTTTTATCAATTTCCTCTTTTCCAGAGTCTTCCATACCCACTATGTCTACTGTGATAGTGAACGTAAAAAACATACAAGATGTTGGTGTTATCCTCAATCTCTTAGTCTTAATCCTGAACAAATTACGTGAAAAAATTGTTCATGGAGTTTTTCCTTGTATAAAACTTTTTGCAATGAATATAAAAGGCATAGCTATTTCTCTTTTTTAAAAAAGGAAAGTAGAATAATATTTCTTGGTTGCAAAGTCTCCCTTCTTGGACCCCAAGTTGTTTTTTACAGCCCTAAATTCTCTTGTTTATAGAGCCATAGACAGGCCAATGGGTCTCTACAGCAGGCACCTGCATGAGTTGACTGGGACCTGGTCTATATTACCCTCTGCCATTTACTAGCTGTGTGACCTTGGGCATGCTCCTTACAGTCTCTGAGTCAGTTTCCTCCTCTGTGAAATGGGCATGATACTACCTACCTCATAAAGTAGGTGTGAGGATTAATGAAGTAAGAGGCACACTCCTGTCCAGGGCCCCAGACAGGGTAGGCTGTCAGTAAACTGTAGTAGTTATTGTGACAGGGTTTGAAATTCAAATTAACACATATTTCTTGAGCACCCAAGGTGTGTGCTGCCAGATCTTTCAGGGGGTCCAGGATTGGTAGTATAGTTGCTTTTCTCAAAAGACTGTCGCCTGGCAGAGGAAAAGGTGTTAAGGTATGAGTGAAGACAGATCAACCAAGCATGGTGCTGCTTGCCTGAGATCTCAACACTTTGGGAGGCCGAAGTAGAAGGATTGCCTGAGCCCAGGAGTTCGAGATCAGCCTGAGCAACATAGCAAGATTCTGTCTCCACACACACAAAAATAAAAAGATTAGCTGGGTGTGGTGGTGTGTACCTGTAGTCCTAACTGTTTGGGAGGCTGAGACAGGAGGATTGCCCAGAAGTTTAAGTTCAGTCCGGGCAACACAGCAAGACCCCATCTCTTTTAAAAAAAAAATCAGCTCCCCAAACAGCTGAAGTATTAAGTGGAACCATATGTAATTGTATTTTTGTGGGACAGAAATACCAGCAATTTCACATAACTAATAGATTCAGTAAGGTAAGTTGAGAGAGAAAATGCTAGCTAGGTGATTCTTGAGAGGCTCAGAGGAAGGGGAGGCCATGCCCATTAGGAGAATGGTGGGTAGGGGTGAGAATACAGAACAGGAAGGCTGCCTGGAGGAGGCTGCATTTCAGATGTTCCTAGAAGGGACCCTGAGCTGGATGGCAGGGAATTGGGAGAGTTCTGATTTGCGCTGGGAACTATAATCCCTCTTGCTTGGAGCTTCTGTAGAAATGTGGGTTAGGGTAGAAAGGAAGGCTGGGGGCTGTGTGTGCCTTGGTGACGTGTCCCCCTCACTCCCGAGCCTTACTCTGTTCCCCTTTCTTCCTGGCAGCAGAGCCCCCTCCCTTGCTGCACTCAGGGACATGACTGTCAGCACTTCTACCCCCCCTCAGACTTCACTGTCAGCACTCAAGTCTTCAGGGACATGAAAAGGAGCCACTCCTTACAAAAAGTTGGGGAGCCCTGGTGTATTGAGGTAGGTCTCGGAGCAGAATGACGGTATGAGATGAGTTAGCTCTGAAATGAAGCCGCCCATCCAAAGTTTACCTCTCTCTAGGGCAGGGCCCATCCACTGCGGTCCCTGAATTCTTGGCGGGTCACTGTCATTTCGGGTGCCATGATGTCTGGGTGTGCTGACCACTGATAGGGATATCATAGCCATAAAAACGCCTGTTTACAAGGAGAGGGTGGAGGGTGGTGCTCCCATGCTTTCAGGATGCCTGGCTCCCAGTGAAGGCCTCGTGATCCAGTGCCACATGTAACTTCCGTGAAAATGAGTAACACAACATTGTCCCATTAAACTTGGCCCCAGGAAGTGTCTCCTGGGACTCTTCACAGTTCGCAATGGAGAAGCTACCACCTCAACTTCGCCTTCGTTACTAGTAATTTAGAACTTAAAGATTTTCTTTTAAAATTCAGGGTGCTGGAAAATGCCCGCTTTGCCTCGACAGTACCTCCCAGAGGCAGCCGTGAATGGCATTACTTGCAGGTGTTGCTCTCCAAGGACAGGAAGCATTGTTAATTTCCTTTAAATAATTCAGTACAACATCAATCCCCCACACTACTCAGTGCTTGGGAGTGGCAGTTCTCTTCAAATTAGTAGTCCTAAAGAAAAAAGAACATCTAGAACATGCTTTTATCTTGAGAAAAGCAAAAGTCAATGCAGATGAAAAATTTTCAAGAAACGCTTAGATTTAAACAGCAAATGATTTAGTACTAATGTTAGCTTTTTAAAAAAGAAAACTGAATATTTATGAACCGATTAATAAAGCCTCTGTTTTTAAAAACATTTATTGTATACCTATTGTGTGCTGTGCTATGTGTTAGAGCCACAGGAACAGAAAGCAGTGCCTCCAGCAGGCAGAAACCTGGAGTGATATATATGTACGTAAGTCTTGCTGTTGGAGAGAGAAAACGTGGAATAAATCATCTTTAAAAGTTTGTTCTGGCATAGGAAGTGATAAATAGCCATATAAGAGAACTAGAAACTGTAAAACTATATAAAGAAAATGTAAATACCTATATTCTTATTACCTATTGATAATCTCTCTGTTTTTTTTTGAGATGGAGTCTCGTTCTGTTTCCCAGGCTGGAGTGTGGTGGCGCGATCTCAGCTCACTGCAACCTTTGCTTCCCGGGTTCAAGCGATTCTCCTGCCTCAGCCTCCTGAGTAACTGGACTACATGTGCACGCCACCAAGCCCAGCTAATTTTTTGTATTTTTAGTAAAGATGGGGTTTCACCGTGTTAGCCAGGATGATCTCGATCTCCTGACCTCGTGATCCGCCTGTCTCGGCCTCCCAAAGTGCTGGGGTTACAGGTGTGAGCCACCGCACCTGGCCTTTTTTATTTTTCAATTTTTTTTTTGAGATGGAGTCTCACTCTGTCTCCCAGGCTGGAGTGTGTGATCTTGGCTTACTGTGACCTCCACCTGCCAGGTTCAAGAAATTCTCCTGCCTCGTGAGTAGCTGGGATTACAGGTGTTTGCCACCACACCCGGCTAATTTTTGTATTTTTAGTAGAGACGGGGTTTTGCCATGTTGGTCAGACTGGTCTTGAACTCCTGACCTCAGGCCATCCGCCTGCCTCAGCCTCCCAAAGTGCTGGGATTACAGGCGTGAGCCACCATGTCTGTCTGATCATCTCTCAATATTTGGATACATTTCCAAATTTCTAATCATTCATGTGCACAAACCTTAAAAGTGTTTCACAAAATTGGTATTATACCTCATAAGGTTTTGCAAATTCTTTCTACTTTTAATTCTAGGAACAGTTTTTGATATTATAACATGTGCCTAATTCTCTTTAATAACTTCATGTACTAAAGTGGAAATCCTCTGGTCCAACTATTCCCTGTTAGCCAAATGTGCATAAAACTGAAAATGTGGCTGGGTGCAGTGGCTGACACCTGTAATCCCAGCACTTTGGAAGGCTGAGGTGGGCAGATCACCATGTCAGGAGTTCGAGAGCAGTGAAACTCGTCTCTACTAAAAATAACGAAAATTAGTTGGGCGTGGTGGCACGCGCCTGTAATCCCAGCTACTCGGGAGGCTGAGGCAGGAGAATCGCTTGAACCCGGGAGACAGAGGTTGCAGTGAGCCGAGACTGCACCACTGTACTCCAGCCTGGGCGACAGAGTGAGACTCCATCTCAAAATGTTTCTGGAGTCTTTCAGACTTTCGCTGTCTTGCACGCTTGCCTCTGATCTTGCATGTTCTTGGGCCATGCCTATGTCTTGATTACCTGGAGCTACTGCCTGTGTGTGTAAGGAGCATGCCCTTTAACTGGCCTGGGTCTGATAGAGCAGGGAGGCCCCCTTTCTTCTGCATTAGCCATGGCCTGGTGGAAGATTTTTTTCAGTAGCCTGTAGTTGGTTCAGCTTTTAAAAGCATAGCTGTTCATTCTGGCTATTTACGTTAAGATGATATGAATATAGCTATTCTCCCATCAGAGCCTGGCACATGGTAACTCATTAATCTTTGGTTGGCGGCAGGAGGTAGATAAAGGAACCGGGCACCCATTTTAAGTATGAGGAAAACGAAACAGAAAGACTGGGTTTCTTCCTTATAACTCAAGATCCGCAGGAGCTGATTAGATCCCTGGCGCCAGTGACTGAGCATTTCTCAGCCTTGTCCTCAGAACCCAGCAGCATCTCCCAGGGACGTGCCAAAATGCCACGTTTCCAGGATGTCATCTAAATCTGTAAACCGTGAATAGGTGAGATATAAAGATGCCACTTAATGGGCTGTGCCACCTTGGGCAAGTTACCCGACTGATCTGTGCTTCAATTTCTCCATTAGTGATAAAGGTTCACATACGGGCTGTATATAAAGGGAGTGCTTGGTGAGAGAGTTGGTGGGCTTAGACTGGTGCAGGCAATTAGCAGGATTCTTGAGGAGTCACACCCTGATGGTGCGTCCGTGTGATGGGCCGGTCGCTGCTGGAATAGCTCAGTTATGTGTTCCCTGTAGGTTTTCATGGAAATTCACATGTAACATTCCTAGTACCTACTTCAAGAATTTTGGTGGTGGCTGGGCGTGGTGGGTCACACTTGCAATCTCAGCACTTTGGGAGGCCGAGGCAGGCGGATCACAAGGTGTCAGGAGTTCAAGACCACCCTGGCCAACATGGTGAAACCCCGTCTCTACTAAAAATACAAAAATTAGCCAGGCGTGGTGGCACATGCCTGTAATTCCAGTTACTTGGGAGGCTGAGGCAGGAGAATTGCTTGAACCTGGGAGGCAGAGGTTGCAGTGAGCCAAGATAGCACCACTGCACTCCAGCCTGGGCAACAGAGCAAGACTCCCTCGGTGGGGGGGTGGGGGCAGGGGAAGAATTTTGGTGATGTCTCAAAATCCTGATCCCACAGCATGGGTGTGATAGAAATAGCTCTGCAGAGTGTGGTGGGGACCTCCTGTGACTGGTCATAAGAACTAAGTTTGAGTCCAACCCTCACTTTTTTGGCAAGGTGCTTCCCCGCTCTGTGATGCAATTCCTGCATCTGCAAAAAAGGGGGTGGTCATGGGATATTCCCCTAGTCTGCTCCACTGGGTACCTACAGAGATCCCTTGACATTTAACACAGGCTTCCTGTGATCCAGGAATTATTGTAAGAATTACTGTAACTACCTCCTATATTAACTTTTCCAAACCTTGATAGCAACCTTATGAGGGAGGTGCTGTGATTATTCCCATTTTGCAATTAAGGTAACTGAGCCAGAGAGAGAGAAAGCAACATCCCTGAGATCACACAGCTGAAGAGTGATAGCTATAAAATTACTGGTAATGAAGGGCCATGGTTATTGGCCATGGTTCAGAGCCGTGATACCAGCCATCTTCCACTTGTTCAGGGAGAACGTGTTTGATCCTTTTCTTCACTCAGCCACCTTAGGAGTTGGGAGGAAATTTTGGTTCAGGATACCTAAGTTCTTACAAGTCTCAACAGTTGTACTTTCTGTCCCATCCACATTTCAAATTCATTGTCCCTTCTCTTTCTTTCCATGTAATTCAGCCGGATTCGAACCCTTTAGATCCCTTCCTCTAGGGAATTAAGGTTGGTAGACCAGCTGAGTAAATGTGACTCAGAAAGTCAATATCCACCTGGGCAGGGATGAGTCATTTCTTTCTAGTTAGCTATTCATGTACATTTTAAAGCTCGCCACACAAAGTCATTACATTGAGGCTATTAACATGTTTAATAGTGACAATAATAGGGTGTGACCCATGGCATATAACCGCATTCAGATAAGAAGAAAGAGTTTTCTTTTTTTTTTCTTCCTGTAATTGCTCAGTCAATACCATTTTCACGGAAATACTTGCAAACAAACTTTTAAAAAGTTCTTTGTCCAAAGCCTTCCCTGATTCCTTGTTTCCTTCCTCTTCAGGGGTTCTATAAACTTTTCCTGATCAGTGGCCGGGGATTAGCGAGATGGTGCACTCTGTCCTTCTGATTTTGTGGTTGACCTACCCTTTTGCTGGTGTTCAGCCAGTTTTTATTGCATTTTTTGGGGGGGGTGTGTGTGCGTGTGCACACGCATGTGTGTATTTTCAGGAGGGGGCCACATTATTGCTGCTACTTGCTTGTTAACCTCTCAATCTAGAAATTTCAGGGAAGAAGAGACTTCCGCTAAATTTGCCAAGCTAGACGCATAAACAAGGAGTTAGCCATTTTGGTGAGAGGAAATGAAACTTTTCTTGGGTTTATTAGACCACATCCTATGTGGCTTATTATATGTCTGATTTCTAAAAAGCATGTCATCATGGTCAAAGTTTTATTTTTGCTTGTTAGTCATTTGAAACAAATATAGATATTGCTTCATTTCCTGGGTACTGTATTTTTCAGTACGTGATATGTATGGAAAATTTGGATCTACACAATGAAGTGCACTAGAAGGGAAGTATTTGCTAATTTATAAGTCTCTACATTATAACTTTGGATTAGCAAGCATTCTGCTAACTAGACATTTTCATTTATCTCC